TATTATATTCACAAGTGTCAATACTAGCAACGTAAAATATCATGTCGGCAGTTTTTATGTGTGATAACAGAACCTAAATTGAGGTAAGGTTAGGCCGAGTCCAGCAGTGTCGGATAGGCTAATGTTTTCAGCACCTACTATACATCTTCGCATACCTATCGCAAAATCAAACATGAAAAATCCATCCTCAATTATCATTTATTTTTTGTGTGGAACACAAAAAATCAAATTTCAGTCTTATTTTACATTTTTTTAATTCTTAGGAATGTCTAAATTCAGTTAAACTAGCAATTACGTATTATATTTATAAATCTTCATAACATTATACAAAAATTAGATTTTTCTTAAAAACTGAAATTTTGCCGGGAATGGGGCTTTAACATGTAAAGTTGCTTGTTGAGAGAGGGCGTGTCCCATTTTATATTGAACACCTCCTTGATTTTTCTTTGGCTGGCTGTTGAAGCGGAATGCCACTGGAAAAATCGTGTCAAATTTCGCCTAGGAGAGGGCGCCCTGTTTTTCGAATAATGGTGAAATATGTTTATAAATAGTTTAACAATACAGTGAAATACTTTTGGTGTATTTTGACTGGAACGATAAAGTGTAATTTAATGGACAATTCGTGGTACACAATTTTTACGATTTTGTGCCCTAGAAAATTGTTAATTTAAAATACAAAAAAAAATTTGATCAGAAATGAATTCAAAATCCCTGCTATAAAAATTTATAATCTATAATTTAGGATATTAAGATAACAAATTGAGTAGCTGGGACGCAAATCCGACTCTGAAAACTAAGGGTACCTCCATTTCGTTGGACTCAAACAGTAGCGTCTACTCCATTTTGGAAACATCGGCGATCACAGGAAGATCGTATTTATACAGAGCATTTCCAAGACCGTCTGTTACACCAATAATTATTATGTGTGAAATAAATACATTAAAATGAATATTATTACATATTTAGTGTTCCAACTTAGTAATTTATGGATAATATTTCTGTTGGTTTCTATTACGATTCGTATGCGAGGCTGAGGCCTAGGCCTCGCACATGGGGGGGGGGCCTAGCATATTCACGTACCCGTAAATATGCAGCGAGGATAATGCCTATTTAAAAATGGCTCCAATCTTTCTAAAATCTGTATCTTGACGACAAATAAAGGAGAACAAGACAACATTTTTATTTATTTTTTATTAAATCATTTTCCTTCTCTATGATTTGTAATACTGTAATAATAATCATTTCATACACCTGCTTCTAAATATTAACATGAAATATAAAAACATACATATGATTATGATATGGAATATACCACACCCCTTCCCCCATCTTCTTAAAGAAAACTCCTTCAGAGGTTATATAAATATGGTACATTTCCATGAGAGAGACTTTAATATAGGGCAGAACTTATTACTGTAGAAGTGGGGTAGCAACATTTCATGCAGGTATTACAAAATCTGCTTCTTATAAGAAGAATATAGCATATAGATAGAATAGCACATTAGGTCCATAATATTGATCAAGCCAGATCTTTTCATGGTGCCCCATGAATAGGTTTGCAAGCACTGGGGCTAGAGGGGACCCCATTGATATCCCATCAACTTGATCATAATATGAACCACTAAACAAAAAATGAGTTTGAGAGGTTGCGAACATGAACAATCTTTTAAGATCAGATTTAGTTATGTTAAAAGTATTATGTGGGTGTTCCAAAATGTAGTCTACCGCAAGGTCTATCGATTCATTAAGTGGAATGTTCGTAAATAAACTTTCAACATCAAAGGAAACCATAAACTTATCACATACATTAATATTTCTAATATTATTATTATTATTATTATTATTATTATTACTATTATTATTATTATTACTATTATTATTACTATTGTTGTTGTTTTTATTGTTATTATTGTTATTGTTGTTGTTATTATTATATTATTATTATTATTGTTCTATGCTTTGGTAGTTGACACTTGTACAGGGAATATCTCCCCTTTGTTAACTACCATCTCATGTGAGGAAATAAAATTATGAATTATGAATTATAATGTTCTAATGGGCATAAGCCTTGAAACTACTAGATTGCTAATATTTGTATTATTATATCTGAAGGTACATACCTGACATGCTGGTAGATCTATATGGTACAAGTAATGTTGTAGTAAGGATGCCATATGAATGAAACTCTTGCAGCCTTGCAGTGTTTCATTTATGATACTCCCTCTTGTCCAAGCAGTAAACGTTATCTAAAAAAAACGTCAACGTTACAGGTTAGAAGATATAAAATTAGAGTATTTTCGTAACATAAAAATTCCTAATTAAAGATGGGTGATAAATAAATGATAAATTTAAATGTGAAAGAGCATTGATGAAAATGATCCAAATTCAACTATTTTGAGTGAGTCACCTGATGGTGAACAAGTATTAAAAATTGCTTAAGTACAAAAGTTTACACATAAAAGAATTAATTATAACATACTTTTTATCTGTTTCTTTATTCAGTTAAAACAAAAATAAATGTGTTTCTTCTTCTGTACATATTTTATCTGTATTCTATCTGTCTTCTAACATTTATATATGTAGGTATTTATATTACATTCTTTCTTTCCTTGGTACCTTCCTTCAGTACCTCAGTACTGCTCTTCAAACAGAAGTGTAAGATTTGGTGAAAATTGAGCTTACAATGCTACAAAACAACATAATAATATAACAATAAAATTGACAAGAAATTTAAAATTTATTCTCAACAAAATCAAAAAATGTTTTGTGTTCACAGCTGTTAAAGATAATAGGACTTCAAACTATTAATTATTCCTGTTCCATTTGGTTGTGTAATAGTCGCTCCTCTATTGAAAAAACTGAGAACCTACAGTATTTAATGGCAAGACTGATTTTAAAACTTGTGCCAAGAAATATTGCAAAAGAGGTTCTTTTATGGTGAACTTGGATGGCAGTTGCTTGAATCCCTCCAAAATTATTAGTGTCATATTATCAACATGTTCAAAATATGCACGAATCCAGATGGCCAAATTTATTACTGAAAGCAATCAAGACACTTGACGGTAATCTAAAATGGCAATGGCTTAATAAAATTAAACAATGTCTTCTTAATTGCCATATAACATGTATGTAAACAATACATATCAAAGCGGATGGTTGAAAGATTTTAAAATACAAAATATATGTAATGATAACAGGAGCTGGTTCGAATGAGCGAAACTTATAAAGTCCCAAACCAATTATAGACAATATAAAGGCAAACCAAAATTTGAGAAGTACTTGTTAGATAAGATCAACTTCAAGGGAAACAACCAAAAATTTAAAGCTCGTACAAACTGCCTGGATTTAGAAGCCCGTAAAGAATCATGGCATGTAACAATACAGACCTTTGTCTCATTTGAGAAGGAAACCTTAAAGAAACAATAGATCACTTTCTATTTGAATTGTTTTATGCTTTATTTTTAATATGAAAAAAAAAAATTCAAAATTTTAATATCTTGATAGTGAAATTTACGGATTTGTGAAGTAGTCCATTTCAAACGTGTTTTTCTCAAAACATTGTTTATATCTAAATTGAAGTTTGTGTCTCTTTGGGAAAACGGTGATAATTTGTTACATAAATTTTGAAATCTTAAGATCTGTAGATTGAACTATTCCATTTTTGTTACTACAATCCACCTTTTGCGTCTGATCAGTCACGTGATCTCTATGCGGTACTCGCTTTGTTATTGTTTTGAATGCTTGAGTTAATACACTTTAAAGATAGCAGCTCGGCGACTGTTTTTGCTGAATGAGTCTGTTGTAAACGACACCTTAATTGATGTGTCTGTGCTTTTAAAATGAAATTTATTTTACCAAATCACTATATCTACATCTACATCTGAGACGTAGAACATTGGACACCAAACGGCATGAAAGATATCGATGGTAAAGCTTGGATATAATATAAGAGAAATGTTCATGGATGCGTAGTGGGTAGTTAGAATGTAGGCAGCTTGTTGTAGCTGCTGCTGCGCACACAGACATGGGCCTAGAAATGATTCTTAAGGCTTGTTGGAGTTAAGCTCATAGCCAAAAGAAACGTCTAGCACCACAAACAATATTTTTGAATGTTACACTAGAAAATAACATTTCAAAAGCTCATAAAACTTAATATTAATAACCCACCCTAACTGACTGAAGTGATTGATAGTGTGTGCAGCGGTGGCCCGTGTATGCCTAGTCAGCCTGCCAGACGAATTGTCTTGAGACATACAATTGTTTTGGTGATCAAAATAAAAGATAGTGATAACCATAATATGTAATATAGTCTAAAGTCATAACAATACTACATTGGGAAGTATTTGTAGGATTTTGGATTGTGCAGAACTAAATTGTATAATACAAACCCCCAGTTCTCAGCTGGCATAGCATTGCACAGGGTACAATTTCAAGCTTAAAATCACAGCTTATAAATCAAATTTATCTTTAATGTAGAGCGATAAAAGATTTCATAAATGTCAGCTATATAGTATAAACTAACTTTTGAATTAGTTTTTTTTATAAATGATATTCTCAAATAAATTACTTAGCAAATGAAGTCTAACCATGATTTACAGAACTTTACTGTACAGCTTCGCTAGGCGGTATCCAAATGTTTTGATTTAATACCCCATTACAGATGATGTCACTACCCCGAAGTAACAAAGTGCAAAAGGTGGATTGTTGTTTTAATTTAGCTACTATCACTGCACATTGTATCAACGGCGGCGGAACGTTTTGGAAAGTGGGGGGGGGGCATTTCATAAGGTCGAGTATGCGAGCGAAGCGAGCATCTATGCTAGAGGCCAGGGATATTATGAAGTTTGGTGAATTTTATAAATTATTTTATAGGCATCAAGCTACTGTAATATGATTTCATATTTGTTGTAATTTCCAGTAGCGGATCCAGAAATTTGAAATAGAAGGGCCCAGGGAGGGTATTTTCACAGATAGAAGATCCATACTACCTCCGCCCCACCATGGTTGGGGCTGAGGTAAGAAAATTTGTGATTACTGGCATCTCTAGATGGCCGGAAATTGCACTTCCAGATTTAAGATTTGAATATAATTATCTTTATATCTCCATTTTTTTATTGAACAATTTAGGAGGGTGGGGGCGGGCCGGCTGGGTCCCCTTGAATCCAACACTGGGTACTTCAGCAGATAGAGAATCTATACCACCTCAGCCTCACCGTGGTTCGGGCTGAGGTAAGAAAATTTGTGATTATGGCACCTCTAGATAGAAATTACACTCTTAGACTTAAAATTTGAATATAATTTTCCTTTATCTCCATTAAAAAAAAATTGAATTAGCCTCCCCCTCGCCTTGAACGCGCCACAGATTTCCGAACAAAGTCAAAGTCGAGATTGCTTCCACGACCTCAATGAATTATTTATTATGATTGTTATCCTCAATATGAGTTTCCCGACGAAAACTTCACTTTTCCCCCGATGGATAAAAATTACTCTTCTATGTAGCTCAGAAATGATACTCCAACTGTGGCTGGTCCAGGAAGTCGAAATAGATGGGTTCCAGGGAGAGCCTTGCGTAAATAGAATGTTCACCCGCCACAGCCTGTTGGGGCTGACGTAAGAAAAAATATTGGATTAAGATTATGGCACCTCTAGATTAAAAGTTGAATACAACTTTGTTTGTTTTCTCCAGTTAAAAAAAAATAATTTTGAAAAAAAAATGGGATGGGGTCCCGTGCTGACTGGGTTTCCCCTTGAATCTGCCACTGTTCAATAGAACACTTGACATAGCCTACCATTTTGTTTCACAAATGATTAACTCCTAATGTCAAGCGAAAGATTTTTTTATTCGTAATATTTTGTTTTATACAGTTTTTACAACCTATAACACATTAACTACAGTGTACTGTAATTTGTCACTGGTGCTGGTAACAGTCACAAAAGTGCATTGTATTAACCTACCTCAACATCTGTTTTGCGATGACTCTGCATTTGGTACAGCTTCCCCAGACTGAAACATGCAATCACATGACCAAGAACAGTTTCGATTGGACAAAGACCTTCTGAACCCTAAAAATGAACCAACAGTTGCAAGTGTTATATTTATTATTTTCAGATGTGAATTTGATGAGTCAAATTCAAAGCAAAATTGAGGTCTACTCATTCATAATCTTTATGAAACAGAACAAAACTTATTTATAATAACTGAAAGTTTTGAAAGCTGCCTCTAAATTACTTCTGCCAATTCATTGTTCTTGTTTTTGTTTTGTTTGAATGAAAGGTACGTTAAACATAAGAAAGGAAAAGGAAAGAAACGATACAGAAGCATAAGAAAGGAAAAGGAAAGAAAAGAAAAGATAAGGAAACATAAAGATAACGGTAAGCATGATAAGGAACATAAGAAAGGAAAGAAAAGAAATGAATTTGGAATGATAAGATGGTAAATGGAAAGAAAGATAAGAAATATAAAAAACTAAAAGGAAAGGAAAGACAATCTAAGGATGAAGAAGGAAAAGGAAAGATAAGGAAACATGAGAAAAGTAAAGAAAGGAAAATAGACATGGAAACATTAGAAAGGAAAAGAAAAGAAATGATAAGAAATATAAGAATGAAATACAAAAGACAGATACGAATTATAAGAGAAAAAATGAAAGGAAAGATAAGCAATCTAAGAGAGGAATGTGAGAGATAAGATAAGGAAACATAAGAAAGGACAAGAAAAGAAAAGATCAGGAACATTTGAAGGGAAAAGGAAGAATGACAAGAAGCAAAAGGGAAAGAAAAAATGAAAGGCTTTGGGATGAATAGGAGAGTAACAGGCCTTAAAATGATTCCAATTTAATACCAAAGTATTGTAATAATAATATTTATTGATAATCATCAAACCAATCATTTGAACTTAATTAAACTAAACTATAACCAAATATTTGATAATTCTTTTGGTACAATTGCATTTGTTTTGGTTTTTCTTCTCTGTTGTTGTTTAAGCACCTTGAGGTTGTGTATACGTGAGGCACTATATAAATCCAGAATTTTTATTATTTATTATAAAACAGATTGCCTGGGCAGAGTGCTCAATACCAGGGGTAGAGCTTATCAAATTTAAGCCAAGTTTGTTTTTGTAGTTTGGTTAATGTATGTGTGTGTATACATATGTGATACAATATGCATATACTGTCTCTTATACACATCTAGATGTGTATAAGAGACAGGTATGGTAGCGTACAATGTGAATTTGTCTTACCAAGTCGCATCAACCCTTCAAAGGCTGGGGGAGGGGAGGGAAAAATGAATTGATATAGAGGGAGAAATGTGAACAGCAAAATGCATCAATCAAAGTAATCAATAATACAATTATTAATACTTTTAGATGAATCGTAACAAAATGGAGCAATGAATAAATGAAAAAAAAAAAGATTTGATCTTTTTTAAGCAATAAAAACAGCATCTTCAAGGATAATTGTTGTAGCCTAAAGCCATATTCAGACTATCACAGCTTACTTTACAAAAACATGTGACATGCCTAAATATGGTCATGACATGCCTAAATATAGTCATGACATGCAAATATGGTCATGACATGCCTAAATAAGGTCATGACATGCCTAAATATGGTC